ACTCGTCAATCGAACTAATGATTCCAGCTGAAAGTGCCAAATTATGTCAGGAGGGAAATCAAAGTGATCGGGACTTCATACTCTCCTCAAGTATAGCGCTATTTATGAATTTCAGAAGCTGGGCACGGAATTTCCAATGGTAGTAAAGGGTTTATGATGCTGACGTTTCCGCAAGTAGCACCTAGGATGCTGAGAGACTCACTTTTCATTTTCCGTGGAAATGAAGGCAAAAAATTGAGAAAAACGAAAATTAGTTTTGTATATATGGATTCTTCGCGATTAGAGCTTTCAGCTGATCTTACCTCCAAATCGTAGCATTTTGACAGAAGCTATGGCGATGCGACGGATTAATCCGTCGCAAACCGTCGTTGACCAAGAATTAGTAGCAGTAGTGTACGTATTGTTGAAATGGAGAACAGAGTAGTAGAGGATTAGCCAAACACGGGTTGGCCAAGTACTCTATTGGTCTAGCGCTCAGGCCTATAGTTTCCTCGCGCTCCTCTGGCTAACTGTTACAATTCATTCCGGACCATAACAGCTGTCGGATTCTTCATTGAAGCAGAGCATTTCTCAAACTCCACTCCATTAGTGCTGAAGAGCGATTAGAATTCAGCACAGATAGACAATGGCAAACTTCCGATGAACCCTGTGCAGCAATCTGGGTTAGGAAACTTGCATATACGTTATTACCAACAGCACAACGAAAAACACCATGGCATTAGTGCGGCAACACTTCCGAATCCAACAGCTGTGCAAGGCATCATTGAAATTCGAATTGCGTTCACTGTCAAAGTTCTAACAATATCGCTCTTATGAATAGTTTTTGAGCACATCGCGATTTCGATAGAGGGCTGGTGTCGTGATCCATAACGAGAAGCATACGGTTGAATAAACGTTTAAACCTAGTATTTAGGGGAATCTGGAGAAGCAAAAAGGGGAGAACTCGCTAAACGACCTCGCAATCGTAAAAAATTTAAAAAATTGATAAATTCTAAGAAGTCCAAAAAACGAAGTTCGACGGTGTCCCTCTTGTAATGACGATCCACTCGTCCGCTCAGGCTCCCGATAGGGATAAACGGAGAACTTGCTGGCGTTAGTAAGACGAGGGAGGCATGTGATCACTTCCTAGTTGGTCGTTGATGGTCTTCTGTCGCATGTATTGGAGCTTAGCTACTCCTCTACTCCGCGACAGCACATCAACTTCAGCAGCAATAGTGGCAGTAATCTGCTAACTGCTTCCGTATTCATTGCCAAATTTATCATAGAAATGATTCTCTGTTCCCAGAGGAAGGCCAACCGCCACGGCAGGTATAATTGTCAGGTATTCGTGATACATCAATGGCGGCTGGAGAGAGAGAGAGCGAGGAATTCAGCAGACTTGAATTGTGACCCTGCTTCAGCCCGGTCTCTTAGCACGCCTTTCCATGAAATCAATGCTTCTGTGCACGCATACAAAATACTAAACGGTGTTGGTTTTGAAAAAGAGGTTTTGTGCTAAAGATATTTTAAAATTCGAATTCTGATCAACGCTGTCAATGAGCCAACAGCAAACCCATGAACCAATCCAAACAAAGAACCTATGCATTCCCCACACATTTCCTAGCTGGGTTTTCTAATAGTTAAGCAGGAATTAATTCAGAAATTGCCTAAGGCCTACTCACGCACACTTTGTTGATTTATTTTTTCTTCCAACACTTTTCGTTTTGCATTTGCGTTTTGTTTTGTTTTCCTACAGCGAACTCTATCATCACTCATCATGGATTTGGTTGAGATCACCCCCCTGTTACTCTGACCTCATCCCTCTGAACTCACTCCGAGACAGTCAAACAATTCCTAACCATGAAGGAGTTATCCACTTCTGACGACCTCAAAAAATACGATGGCTGAATACTTCAACTCGCAGTCCTCCTCCTTCCCGAGCAACTGGTTACATCAGAAGCAGTTGACAAAACGAATAGTGCTCTTTCTGCGGTTCTTTCTGCTCTTTTCACTTTAAGCACTAGTATGACAGCCAGTCAGGGATGAAGATTTATTTCATTGCCACGCGAAAATTATTACAACTATCAAAGTTATGTTGTAAGAGCTACGGCAATGCTAAGAGCGATAACGCTCTTATCCATAATAGCCGTAGGGTCCATATCCATAACGTCTATATCCGTATGGACTATAGACGTACGGTCTGTATCCATAGTATGGCCCATATACATATCTATATCTGTATCTGTAACCGTAAGGACCATACTGGTACCCTCCACTTCCNGATATTCCAGATTTTGCAGACGTTCTTATCTACTGGAACTGTACAAAGTAGCATAGACGATGTGCACGCCTGCTTGGTACCACTCCCGCTACACGGCTTAGGCCCTCTATCGTTTTTCAGATGGTCAGGTTGAATCTTCCAATCAACAAAATACTTTTGAAGCTCCCTTATCCACAACAGAAACAGAGTTTACCCTGAGCACCAGGATGTAGAAACGATAACTGGACTTCTTCATTCATAGCTGATTCGTCTGATTCGTAGAGGATTGAACGACTCATCACAACAAAGTAATAACAAACATCAGCATCAATGTAATAACAATTCGGCTGGAATTTGGGCCTATAAGCCTGATGCGTCTTCTCAACAGGCTTCCATGGTGGAACTTGTAGCCCTAATCTTTTAAACTAGCTTACGTTGGGTCTGAAGATTGTGTCGGGGAACTCCATTACCTACAGCTCCTTACCATCGGGAGGAACTGCATCAGATATCACTATCTCATAATAGATAAGTCATAACAATTCTATACCATTTCTGGAGCTGCTGCGATGAATGCACAGAGAGTCAACAGGAGGATGAGGAGATACATCTGAAAATAGCGAATTGACTTGAACAGTTTCTAAATTGTGGCGCTATCCCTAGCGCTTCAATAAAATAGCCGGACCATCCACGTTCGCCTAACCCCTTAAAGGAAGCTGGGTAATCCCAAATCTGGGTGTTAGGTAAGTTTTGAATTCTGGTATGAGACCTATTCCACCGCCAATGGTAGGTTTTTCCGGATTCACCTATCTTATACTGGGAAAGGGGTGAAATCATCTGATTGTATTTAACACTGCAGTATGCCCGAATGAAGAGCCTGACTTTGATATCAATTAATGAGAAGCCGGGGTGATTCACTCCGCTCTCGTCAGACTTTTATATCTGCTGAATCCATTGAACTCGAGCTTCTCACGTCACTGTGGTAGGGATTTTGAAACAAAAGGACTACTGCAATTTTGTGAAGTCCTTTCTTTGACGCACAACGCACATTATCCGGATCAATCCGGATCAAACTTCAAGTTGAAACTCGCGAAATAATTAGTTGCCCATCATTCTGAAACTACCTGACACCAGGCATATGTATCTTGAATAACGGCAAGATTGGCCTGCTCCAGCCGTCTTGCCGTCAACTGAATGGGTCAAAAGCTCTTTTCGTTGCACGAGGACTATGGGAGGACTAGTATGTAGCAGCGATGCCAATTTGTTTTTATTTAATTGAAATGCAAAATGACAAAAATGAGACCATTCTTCGATCGACAGCTGTTGATTTAATAAATTTGAATCAACATACCCCCAGGTCGAAGAAAGGATTTCACAAAATTCCAATAGTCTCTTTGTTTCGAAATCTGTTCCACAGTGACGTGAGAAGCTCGAGTTCAATGGATTTAGGAGATATAAAAGTCTGGCGAGAGCGGCGTTAATCACTTCAGCTTTCTCATTTATTGATATCAAAGTCAGGCTCTTCCTTCAGGCATACTGTAATGTAATGTAATAATATAAGATATGTCACTTGAAAGAAACCTACAGTCGGTAGAACAATAGGTTTGTATCAGAATTCATAACTTAGGTAACACACAGATTTAAGATTACTCTGCTTCATTTAAAAGTTTAGACTAACGTGGATGGTTTGCCTATTTTATTGAAGCGCTAGGGATAGCGCCACAATTTAGAAACTGTTCAAGTCAATTCGCTATTTTCAGATGTATCTCCTCATCCTCCTGTTGACTCTCTGTGCATTCATCGCAGCAGCTCCAGAAATGGTATAGAATTGTTATGACTTATCTGTTATGAGATAGTGATATCTGGTGCAGTTTCTCACGATGTTATGAAGCTGTGGGTGATGGAGTTCCACGGCAGGTCGTTTTTACATCCGGGTGCTTGCGTTAATTCTTAATGTTCCTATTGTGGATCGGAGGAGCATAAAAAGTATTGTCAGCTGGAAAGATTTAACTTGACCATCTGGAAAACGATAGAGGGCTTAAGCTGGCTGTGTAGCGGGAGTGGTACCAAGCAGGCGTGCACATCGTCTATGCTACTTTTTACAGTTCCAGTAGATAAGAACGTCTGCAAAACTGGAATATCCCCATCTTTTCCACTGGCAAAATGTTGAATATGTGGGAATAAAATAAAATTGCTTTATCTGATACCTTACGATATTCAGAAATTTCAATGAGCATGTGCATAATATGTTTTTTGTTGAGATTTGTAGTCTTACGATATAAAAGTTCTCTCCCACTTTAGGATAAGAACGCTACTGACGCACTCGTTCCTCCGCATCCGAAGTTCGGCGTATTCTGCACTGGAGGAACATCTACCGGAAGTGGAGGGTACCAGTATGGTTACGGTTACAGATACAGATATAGATATGTATATGGGCCGTACTATGGATACAGACCGTACGTCTATAGTCCATACGGATATAGACGTTATGGATATGGACCCTACGGCTATTATGGATAAGAGCGACTCAGCATTGTCGAAGTTTTTACAACATAACTTTGATAGTTGTAATAATTTTCGCGTGGCAGTTTAATAAACATTCATCCCCAAATGACAGACATCTTAGTGCTCAAAGTGAAAATTCCAGAAAAGACCGCAGGAAGACCAGAAACTGTATTATCACCTGATTGATGAAATCGTTTTCTCGAAAATGTATCAGAGATCGGGATGGACTCCACTATCTCCTTGGAGGAGTACTGTGAGTTGACTGAATCAGCTACACCATTTTTTCCTCATTAAAAGCGAAGCATTTTTTCATGGGTAGGGACTGCTCAACTGCCAGAAAACGAGTCAGGTGGTAAAGTCAGAGTAATGAGAGGAATGTGAAACGGTGTTCTAGCCAAACTCCATTATGATGAAGTTAGCCGCAGGACAACAGGTAAAATGAAAATTGTCGGCAGAAATAATGAAACAAAAAACTCAGTCATGAATCTTGCTTGACCGTAAAAACCCAGCTAGGAAAAAAGAGATCAGTTTCATGGCAAGTTTCGTAAGGCATCCTCCTAGAAAGTCAAATATAATAATTCAGCAGTAGCGCGAGTCCGCTTTGTCTTTCACAGATATTTTGAAATTTTTGAGAAGTGTTTACATGATTCAGGATATCATATCTTCCATGAAGAAAGTATCCAAAAATACGCGGATTCTTTGGTTTGATTGGTTCATAGCTTTTCTGTTGGCTCATTGTAACGGACTTCTGTAAACTCGAACTTCAAAACATCACCTTGATCGGCGTCGTGGATCCCACTGTTTCTGTAGCTCGAGGCCTCCCTTCAGCCGCAGCATTTTTGCATTTTGAATTCGCCCGCAGAAGCATCAACTTTATGGAAAAGCGTTCTCTCACCAGCTGCCATACGAAGTGCATGTAATTGCTTCACCAACAATGCCAAATGCACTCCCATCGCTACAGTACCCGCTCCAAATGTCCAAAAATCAAATATGATACAATGAAAAAGGCAAGATAAAGTGAGCGAGTACGTGCTTCTTATTTTCTTCTTTACAACTAACTCCGCTTCATTTTTTACCTACAATTCACATAGTTCAACTAAGCTCGTCGAGCTCTGCGGAACGCTGATACAAGGGCTGGGAAATATGATAAGACTTCACAAAAAAAAAAGTCATTTCATGAAAATTCTTTAAGGCACGTCAAAAAGGCTTCATATTACAATGTATAGACAGAAATCATTCATGAAACAGAAAGTGCCTGGAGAACATATGGATATTGTATTCCAGAGGGCGTACTGGGTCGCCGAGTAATTTTTAGCGCGTCAAACGGCACATTTACAACGCAGAATGAATTTATTGTAGTTCACCGGGCAAATGTATCCCTACCAAATAACGAATGCCATAAGGTCAGGTCTGATCAAAAGCACAGACCCTTAGGTACCTGATGCAAAATGTTAGTCGGCGAGGACTATTAACTTTGCTCACAGGAGGTCACTGCACATCTGAAAAGGATGGTAGTGAAATACACGTTTTCATAGCCGCATATCTCAGTAGATATGTTGTTTTGTCTAAACGAAAAACAAGCAAGTAACAACAGCACAACCTCGTCTTTCAAACACTTTGTTCAGAATGTTTTAACAGTCGAGCGTTGCAGGATATGTTAAAACGATTGTGATTAGTGTGAATGCCAATGACGGTTGTACATTCCACACGTTCTTAATTTCTCACTTAATTTGTTGAATTCTGCAAACCAATGCAGATATTTGCTCCTTCAAACGGCGTCGGTGTAATGTGTTGAGTCACTTTTCTGAATCTTCCCTAATGAACAAAATAAATACACGACATATATATTTCAGTATTCATACAGGAGTTTCGAACCGCTAAATAAGCTGGACTTCTCATTTACAGCATCGAAGCATAGGGGCATGAAATTAATAGACAATAAAAGATAGAAGGATCGCTGCATCACTTCGAAGGATTACACTTCACTCGAAGATTTTTTTCTAACCTGAAAACTGGCCCCAAATCGCATTTCAACTAAAAAAGGATTGAGCACTGAGTGACTGGTTGAAGATTCTTGGACCTTCAAGGATTGGCGAAAGAAATCAAGGCGTAACCACTAGAAAATGTTCCTACCACTGAAAGAAGTGAGTAGATCTCCAGTGAGCTTTCATCCGATCCCAGTTTGCTAGTAGGGCTGTTGAAAGCACAATTCACGATAACTCTGGGTTATTCAGATTATCACGAAAAATGAAAGGGAAGTCGGTGAATAGTGATGTGGAGATGAAGAAATCAGGAGCATTGATGTTTCCAAAGAGATAAAAGGTTCTTAAAAAACCGTTGAAAACGGGTCGGGACTAGAATAAGGCCAAACAATGGCGTAGAAGAGGTATTTGGACGAGCTATGCAATGTGTGACATTGCATACGGCATTCAATACATTCAGAATCACTAGCAAAAGTTTAAAAAAAAANAAAAAAAAACACTATTAACAGCAGAAAAAACAACTTTCTCCTTCGTAAGTTGGAAAACTTAAAAAAGGACCACAGCAGCAAAAAGAATAACAGACAATAACAGAACAAGGGTAAAACATCCCCTCACCATAGTGTGGTGAGCTGATTGCAATGAAAAATCATCGACAAATCCGGTAATGGGGCTCATATTATGCCCTATCTTCTGTTTTTTTGCTTCCCGACAGATTCCTTTGTGTTACATCGGGAGTAAGTGGGTAATCCTGGGAGGAACTCGTAGAAAACATTTTCATTGTGAACTGTGCCTTTAAGAATGTCTTCCAGCATACTGTCAACGAGTGGTATTTTCTGGGAGTATATCAGATTTCGGCAAATAATATTTCATGACTTATCCAAGAGATTAGCAAATGACTTATTAGTTGCTTTGGAGGGGGATTGAATCAAAATAGGTATGCGTTCGCACCCATTCTATCGAAGAACGCATCAAGCCTTTGATGAAGAATCCTTTGAAACCCTTCTTTCAACTCCAGATCATGAGCTGTTGTGTAGAAATCGAATTCTAAGGGCACTGGTCACAAACTATTTGGCTTGATTTTCCTTGCTTGTCCTGATGTTAATTTCCTCTAATTCTACAGGCCCTTCCTAATCATTGCACTATACTTATCATATTACATACCTTGATCGCCAAAGAGTGTCCCACTGTTGGGTTTATTAGAGAGTTTGCCAATATCAAACCCCTGTCTTATTCCTTACGATCTATGCTTTCGAAATCGCATGTCCTATTTTGGCAGATTGAAAGTGAACAAACTCATACTTCAGAGGTATCAATGAGCAAATAAATCATATAAACCACTCGCTTCCCCTTTACAGTCTGAGATTATAAAGTAACAAAGAAGACAAACCTGTTGATTTACACTCATCTAATTCTGTAGTGATAGAGTGAGGCAGTACAGCGAGGCGCTCTGATAGATAGAAGATTTGAATAGGGCATTTCGGAAGGTGATTTGCAGCTTCTCACAAAACCCTTCCAGATATCTACCCGCTGTACGCGAACTAGGCAAGATTTAAAATGTCGACTGCTGAGCGTGAATTCTGAAACACCCTTGACTGCGATTCACTGACGAAGGCGACAAGGCCGAAACCTAAGCCAGCGACTATCCACAAGAAGCCTAATAAGGCCACATTTCATGAACAACTGAAATATTCCGGCGGTATTTGTTAAATACTTGCTACTTTTTGTTATTTTGACGACAGCGGTACCGAATAAAAAAATCCTTCTCAATGGGGCCTGTTGCAAAATACTCACACGGCAAGCTCCTTGCTTGAGAGAGTTCATTCTAAATTTAATCGCACACCAACGAAAATCAATCTGTTTTTGTTAGTTGTTAGCATTTCCTTTCAGCCCTCAACTCGACCTCAACAAGATCCTTTTAATTGACAACCGCTCTCTCGGAATACTTTACTGCTTGGGAAGCTTTCTGAAGATGGTTTTTTGCATGGCATAAGGGCATGAGCGTTAAGTATGGAACTACAACTAGAACTGGTCCATTTCCGCTAAATGGTCTTCCGAATGCCAAAAAAGAGTGAAAATGACTTCTCCAAAAATTGCCGTTTTAACCCACTAAGCGTCGCTTGTTTCATTCATGGCGTCGACTGTCCGTACAGTAGAAGGCGCCAGTAAACTGCGCATTGAAAATAACGTGAACGGTAGCCAAAAAAAGGAGCCACGTGTTGAAGCATACTGACGAGTGCATGGGAGGTTTCATATGTGCTCTCCACGGTTAAGCTGGAAGCAGCCAAGGATTGTGCGATGGATAACGATGTGGACTAAGAGTGGGACGGCTTGGATGGACATTTTATGCGCCACCCTCCAGATTGGCTCCATATTGCACCAGAGCCAAAGTAAGTGCCTTAATGGTCATGGTCGTGACCAGGACCACCCATAACCTCTACAAGTCATTAGAATTTGAAATGTGGAACACTACCAATGGAGGAGCTTCCAGGCTTCACACTCCCTGAAGTATAAAGGGGTCTCTTCATTTCACACTGTATAAGTGTTGTAATGGGGGTCAAAACCCTATAATATGGTTCCTGTTTGATGGAAACTCTCCTTGACCTCGTTCGTCAACGCAAAATTAACAGGATTCCTGTATTCGTTGTAGCTCTCGATTCCCTGCCGTCCACTGGGCGTCAACCGCGGACCTCTGTGGGGAAACGAATCAGATTCTCTTTCAACGCGTCTTCTTGCTGAAGGAGCCATGAGCATTGGGCCTTGTATAGAAAGCTGTCACCTCCGAAGGGAATCATTCAAGTGTCAGATTTCTAGATTAATGACCAGATGAAGGGTTTGGGCGGTACCCGTTTCCAACATACGATCCCCGAACTCCGCGTCCTGCTATGAAGGGCTGGCAGGACACGACCAAGAAAGACATTCATGAAGTCGAGGTGACTGCAGAAGATACTGATCGTGAATAGAGAAGGAAATGGGGATGACCAATCAGATCAGTGGACAAAAACCCTTCAAAGGGACAAAACCAATCAACGCTAGGGTAAGAAACGGTGAAGTCATCAAATTATTATAGATGCGCTTTTCGTCAGTTTTGAAGGAATTCAGTCGAAAT